CCTTACGCAGGCCGGTCAAAGTCAACCAATGTATGTGGCCCGCGGGCCGTGAAATGCCCAGGTTTGGTCTAAGCAGATGGCCCCCAGGTCCTTTTCAGATTCATAAATTTCCACTTGCGATAAATAAAAACTTAACTCAGGAACAAAAACAATCAAAAACAAGGAAATAAAAAAAATGATAAAAAAAAAATCATAAAAATGGGAAAAGCTAAAGATGTGAGGAAAGGGGAAAAGAAAATGAACAAGAAAAGGCAATCAGTGGATCCCGGGAAAAGCAGAATTAGCAGAACAAAGCTAACTCAGGTGTTTGCTAACCATCAATATTAAGTGCCGTCCGCCTCGGGGGTGGGCATCTAACCTATGATAACCCACCCGATTGGCCAAATGGGGGAAGAGCTCCATTTGACTTGTTAAAATACATCATGCTTCCATTTGACCGAATGCATTATGTGTAGCAAATAGGGCTGCAACAACGAATCGATAAATTCGATGAAAATCGATTACTAAAAGCGTTGGCAACGAATTGCGTCATCGATTCGTTGTGTCGCACAACTCTTCCAAAAGCGCCCCCCCCCCCCCCCCCCCCCCCCCCGCCCGCCGTTGCGCACAGACCAGAGCAAGTCAGATCAGCGCGAGGGAGAGCCGCAGATCAGCGCGAGGGAGAGCCGCAGATCAGCGCGAGAGAGAGCCGGTACCGGCAGATCAGCGCGAGGGAGAGCCGGTACCGGCAGATCAGCGCGAGGGAGAGCCGGTACCGGCAGATCAGCGCGAGGGAGAGCCGCAGATCAGCGCGAGAGAGAGCCGGTACCGGCAGATCAGCGCGAGAGAGAGCCGGTACAGGCAGATCAGCGCGAGGGAGAGCCTGCAGACTTGCGCTACTGCGAACCGGTTCCGCATTGTTGCACAGCGATCCAGGCAGCTGCTTCCAGCGCACGGTCCATTCTCAAAGTGGCGCAACCAAAAAACTATAATTAGCACACGATCGTTCTTGTCTGCACATGTTCTCTATTTTCTGTCTTATTTGTGCCTGAAGCGCGCTACTGCAGAGCTCATCACCTGTGCTGTGATGATGTCACCTCACGCAGCATCGAAAACGCGCTCTGCGCTTTGCGGTCAGGAGATCTCTTTGATCTGCTCAAAAGTAACTGATGAGGTGAAAAGGTAAGAATCCAGGCAACAGATTTTCTGGAGAATTATGAGGAGATGCAGGAAGATGAGAGACAGACAGGACAGGAAAATAGTTAAATAAAAACAAGAAAACAAAGTAAAATTTAGGTAGATTTATCTCCACTACACGTTTTTACCTGTATAAAACAATAAGTTATGCACTTGTCATATTTATACATCTGATACAATTCAGATCACCTTCAAAACTCAGTCACACACCCAGGGCCGTTTCAAGACATTTTGGGGGCCAAGGCAAAATGCCCCCCCCCCCCCCCCCCTCCATAACTGGGCTCCCCAGAAGCCTCTGTGTAATTCATACCCTCTCCAGTAGTGTTAGTTATACGGTGTTTATAAAAGCCCCTCAGACATTACTGACATGTTCTAATATTATCAGATGAAAAACTAAATTATCAGACACGCTGTCTCATCTGCTTCTTTTCTAAACTTGCAAAAAGTAACAAAATCATTTGAAAGCCACTATTTGTGGATTCTCTGAAAGTTTCCATGGAGTGTGTGACAACTTATTTTTTCATTGATCCTATCGCCTAATCTCACAGCTGAAACAAGCATCCTTAATAATCTGTGCACAGGAAGCTTACCGATGCTGTAGTAAAACAAAAGGTATAATAATTTATTATTAATAAAACCTTGTTGCAGCACTAAAGCATAAAAATGAGATTTTGCAATACATATGCTAAATATTTACATATGAATTGTTTTAGAGCCCTTTTATTGGCAGAATCTGATATTAATTTAGTTCTTACAAAAAATGGGTCCCAACATGGTTTGTGTGGCGTTGCCATAGTGTGACGTCATAGGCACAGATCCCCTGTCCTCTTGTTTGGAAATGGAAATATGGTCACCCTACATTAAACAAACTGTCCACTCGGGCTTTTGCACTGCACAGAGACGCTTCGCTGCCTACGACTGAACGTCAGTTGAGAGTCAGTCTCATGCAGGCTGACCAATGAAGAGAGGGCCTCAGTTTAAGACCCTCTCCTCATTGGTCAGTCCACACGAGGTGGGTCAAAGGTTACTCTGGGCGGGTTACGTGTTGTCAGGCATTCAAGTATTGAGTATATTTACTGCATATTACAGTAAAATATTCTGTATGTGACCACATTGTGGTGATCCTTGGGTCGTGATGATGGAGCCCTTGAATATTGTTGCCCAGGGTACAACAAAGTGTTAATCTGGCCCTGGTTCCGCCGTCACATTCCCGCAGAAACTGGTTGATCACACCGGGGCCAGACTACTAGCATGTGGTTTTACAACCACAATGTCCTCAGAAGCAAAAACGCTTTTAAAAGGGAGGGAGGAGTCCTAACTGTTGCTGCAGGCGTGTTGTGTGAGAGTGCAGTTATATACTGGTTAATATATTTTTGGGTTCAGTTGCTTTCATGTGGCCTAATGTGAGTCTATTTGGGATCATTGGAATGATCAGCAGCATTTCTTGATGTGACTTTATGGCAGTTGCCCAGGGCATCATCGCAAGGAGGATGGCATTCATTTACTTTTGTTTTATTTGGTATTTTTTCAGTCATTTTTGGAAATGGTGATCAATTTTGATTAATTCACAGCCTATGTTTAATTACATTTAAAATAAATGTCAACAGATGAGATCAAACAAAACAGATGAGAATTGCCCTTAAGCTGTTTAACTTGGACCAAGCATTTTAGGTCACAGATAGATGTAGCTTAGGGTCTCTGTCTATACACCTTATAAGACAATTTAGGTGATGGCATGTTGTTTTTCTGCTATTGAACTGTTTTCTAATTATGTTGTGTTAAATAAAGTGAAGGAAGGAGAGAAATAACGTTTCCCTAGCAGTTTTTAAAAATTTCCCCATGTAATCCGATTAATCGTGTCGAGACCCCGTCCGATTAATCGATTATCCAAATAATCGTTTGTTGCAGCCCTAGTAGCAAACATTTGAGCTGACCATTCATTGCGATATTTATCAGTTCTTTGTGATATGCATATCGTGCATGCTGATATCACGTTAACGATATATTTGCCATATATTGTGCAGCCCTACACACATAAAGGCAGAGGAAAAGAGGAGAGCTATCCGTCTTGCCCAAATACGTCATCAACTTGTGACAGTGGCAGAACTTATGATTCAGCCTCCTAACATTAGTTCCATGATGCAATTTTCACAACATAAAGGTCACTAAATGTAACACAAACAGCAAAAGTACAGAGAATAGGGGAGAAGTCGTTAAACTTATCGTTACAACCCCGAATCTTAATTTTTCATGCTGGCACATTTTGATGATGAACAAAATGGCCACAATCTCCCAGGCAGATGATCATGCCGCCTGAAAGTCGTCCTCTGACCTTCGTTCGCTACAGGCTCACTTTAGATGTTGAACACCAATATGAACATTATATAATATTTAATGATGCAAATGGATGAGCTGGGTTAATGAGCACGTGTCACGGTACAGATGAAACATCAGATGTCTTTTATTTTTCTGTAAGCGCTTTGAGATTTTTTAATGTAAAGCGCAATACGAATGAAATGTATTATTATTAATAATAATAATAATAATAATAATGAGTGTGCGTGTTGCAATGTTAAACAATGCCATTACGTGATCATCAAAGCTACATTGTTTTATAGCGCTCCTGACTGATCCAGGACCTGTTTTGTTCAACTACTTTAGACATCTGGGTATTTCACCTGTATTACTGCGACAGCAGCCGGGGGGGGGGGGGTTGTACTGAAGTCAGGCCCAACTGTTCAGCTGACAGAGCTGCACATATTTGTTATTTTCCCTGTTTTATTTTTCAATACACAGCACTGCTAGAGCCGATAATAATCGCTGCGGCCATTTGTCTGCAGCAGGTGCTGTCTCCCTCAGCACTGTGTGTGTGTGTGTGTGTGTGTGTGTGAGTGAGTGAGTGAGAGAGAGAGAGAGAGAGTCAGCCCGAGTGCGGTGTCACGCACTGTAGTGGACTAGAAGGTGCGAACATGTTTCTGATAGCACTCAGAAATTCAAACAAGCATGTAAAACGTGTCAGAGTTGGATTGGTGTTTTAGCAAATTCAGATGGCACAAAAAACAACCAGACTGCCTGCCTGGGTAAATAATGCCGGAAATCTCTGTATGCATGTTTTGTTATTTACAATTGAAAGCTGTAGAGACGCTGAACGAAGCATCGCTTCGCCCCTGCCTCCCTTCTCTCACACCCTGCAGACACACAGCAGCAAAAATTTAAACAAACATGTCTGCTGAACTCTCCCCCTGGGACAACTGATGTAAAATTTTCATCCTACAACAAAAACACGGTGCGGCGAAAGCTCGTTATTTAAAACGAGTTTTACAGAAGAAACACGGGGCGGTGTGAGGTGAGGTTGGCTCGCTGCAGAAATAAAAACCGGGAGCATCAACAGTCAAACACAACACTTGTCTGTATGAGCGTGAGACTCATAGCTGCACAAATAACCTGTGAAATAATTAAAGACATCATGCTAGATCAGCAGCCTGTGGTGACACCTAGTTCTGCTCACTATAGGAGCCGCTCTAAATATTAAATAAATAAATATAATAATATTATACCGAAAATTTACCGAACCGAGCTCTTCAATGACACTGAACCGAACAGAATACGATTTTGGCGTACCGTTACACCCCTGCAAAATATTATATAAAATATATACTATTCTACATTATGAGTCACGTGTTGAACCTTGATTTGAAAGAAATTGTGAATTGAACTGAAATCGCTTTTTCTCCAAGAAAAATCACAATTCAATAATTTCCTAAAATCGTTGAGATCTAAAAGTTTGTCCCAAAACTAGTTCTGATTGGTGTTTGAGTACTTACCCTCTGAGGACAACCACTCCCTGCTCCAAGATGGGATCATCAATGACATCTGCAAGAGTCACAGCACAGACCAGTAGTGTTACACTCCGCAGGTTAGAGGTTAGAGCTGAGCCACATGGCCCAAAATAAAATCAGGTTTTTTTCAGCCGCTCCTGGTTTCGGCTCCACTGAGGGTGACTTCTTATTTTCTGCACATGCGGGTCGCTGTGGTGCCGTGAAGCGTTCACACTGAAGCAAGTTTGATGTTGCATTTCAGTCGTAGTGTGAATGGCCACACAAAATAATCGGATTCACTCCAAAAATCGAAATTGAGCATCAGGGCCTGCAGTGTGAGCGTAGCCTTATTTTGCAGGTTATTGCTCAGTTCTGACGGTCACGCTCACGCAGACGGGGCTGCTGCGTTTGTTGCATTTTTATTCTGAGTTTTTATTTCTGCAGTGAACCTCAAAATTTCACGCGGTTAACAATCTTCCTCTGCGCTTTTTCACTGCAGGACGCAAAGTTCACACCACGGAGTAAAAGTTCAGCAGACACGTTTGTTTACATGTTTGCTGCTGCAGGCATGGAGGGAAAGACAGCTGGTGTGATTGGCTCTGAAAGATGTTGATCAGAATTTGCTGATCATGTATTTTTTTTTCATCGAGATTGGCCACGGATTTTACTTCCGATCGGCTGACTGGGAATCGAGACAAGGAATCAAAATTGAAAAAATGAATGATTCCGATTACAGTTAGTCACGGTTCTAATCGATGCTTGATACCTAACCCTATTTATGCATGACACGATTAGTCGCCTAATCCAGTGTTTCCCAACCCTGGTCTTCAGGACACACTGACCTGAGTGTTTTCCATGTCTCTGCTTCAACACACCTGATTTACATTGGCTCCTCGGGAGGACATCAAATGCTGCAGCTGCCTGTTAATCACCAATTCACTTAAGCCAGGTGTGTGGCAGCAGGGAAACACTGGTGTTTAAAAGGGCAACATGGAAAGCATGCAGAACAAGTGGTCCCTGAGGACCAGGGCTGGGGAACACTGGACTAATCGACAAAAATGAATGAAGATGAATGGATGTGGTGTTGCTTGAACATGTATGTTCTCATGTTTCTGTTTGCCTCGATGTTTGTACACATGGAACCGGGATATCTGACTCCTCAGTCAGGAGCACTTTACAACGACGTTCGGGTCCGACTGGAACAAACCACCGAACAGAACTTGGTTTTACGGAAACAGTTTAGTAACACAAACCAACTGCGTGTAACACAAAGACACTTGTGTTCCATCTGATACTATTTGAGTGTTGTCGAAACTTTCCCGGTAGTGTGTGAGTCGTCATGACTCCGTACCTTCTCCTCCCTCCGCGCCCAGCGCCTCTTCCTCGGCCTCCAGCCTCTCCCCCTCTCTGCCGTCAGCCATGGCACAAAGATCTGGTTCGGCTCTAGCAACACCTCAGATGTCTGAACGTGAATACACCCTGGGCCGGCCGGAGCTCTACTCGATACGAGACTTCCCTCCCTGACCCAACCCGGAAGTAATGCGAATGCCGGACCCTCCCCTCGAACCTTTGCTCATACAGCCGCACGCCTGTCATACATCGGAACCAGAAAGCTAGAGACGTGAAAAAGTCTCAAAACGATCTCTCTCTCTCTCTCTCTCTCTCTCTCTCTCTCTCTCTCTCTCTCTCTCTCTCTCTCTCTCTCTCTCTCTCTCTCTCTCACGCGCGCGCGCGTGTGTGTTGTACATTCTGTACTGAGGACCATTTTCCCTACAATGTGAGGACATTTTTATCATGTCATAATCATAATATTAATTAATATTAATATAATATAATATTACCAGTTCTTATTTCCTGCCAAGAAAAATAATCTATCATGTTAAGCTAACTTCATGATGTAATTGCATCCATCAGCATGAAGTTATTGAAGTTATCAAAGCAAACATGGCTGGAGTCACTTTCTCTAAGTGTGTGTGCTGCTAGAGTGGATGCCCTCACTGTGGGACTAATAACATTTACTCTATTCTATTATATTCATTCAAATCAGCCAGTAGGGTGAAAAAACGTTTGAGGATCTTTTGCCTTTCCAGGCTTCCGTACCAGTAACCTGGTTATAAAGGAGGGTTGTTTCACAAACAGGTGAAGCGGTGAATTAAAACAAACTAATGTAGGAGAGGGCACATGTGAGTGAGTCACCACGGTAGGAAGCCCAGCTTGCTGTGAGCGAGAGTAGCAAGCGATCTGTGGCTGATGAGTGAAAGCAAAAGAAAAACATTCGGGACTGAACCTCCGTCAACTATCGGCTGGCCACGCGGCTGCATTTCTAAAAATAGCATGTCATTTTGGCGGTGCCCGCAGCCGCAACTCACGGTTCTGGGAGAACCGGGCATGCCCGTCCCATCTACAGCAGGTGGAGCTCACCACTCCGCCCATCTCACCACCAGAGCAGAGAAAAGCACATCAACTTGGAATCTCAGAGGCGGATTTAGCAATATGGGGGCACAAGGCAAACACAGACATGGGGCCCCTTACACTAAATTTTCGACAATCTTATCTTTAACTGGATTCGCGAAACTCTCCCCTCTTCTGACATGAGTTATTTTCCCTTTTTATTAGTCTTCCTCTTTTTTCCTGTTTTTCTCTCCCTTTGAGCGCTTTCAATATTTGCTCTGCTTTCCTTTTCCTGTCAGGGCTCCTGTGCTTTTGCCTTTTTTTTCTATTTTCCATTTTGGTCTATGTTTTCCCCCTTTTAAACATTTGCCATTGTCTTTCCTTTCTGCTTCCTTTTGATGTTTACATCAAAAGACGACGTCACTTTCAGAAGTGAAAATAAAAGCTTTTTTAAAGCATGCTGCTTCTTTCTCTTATTGGAGCCACTATAGGATAACTCCATGTCATGCTTCATGTTTTGACTATCGCTTTGAGTTTGTTACGAACAAACTAACTTCTTATTTGTGGTCTTATGGCACTTGGCAAACAACAATTTGGTGCATTACCGCCACCAACTGGATTGGAGTGGAATGACTACCAATCACTTCCTGTTTGTGCATCGCCGTCTTAATAACCCTCTTATGACCATAATTATAATAGGGCCGCCTGGTATTTTTTAATCTTATGGCTGTAAAATTGTAATAAAAAGTGCAAAGTGTGTGTAACTCTTCTCCTTTTTTCAGAAAAACCTCAGCTTTCAGTGTATGGTTTGTATTTAGAATTTATTTCTATTAAAGCCTTTAAAAAATCAGCTTAAAAGTGAATAAAGTAAAAAATGGATTTGAATTTTTTACATTATTTACTGAACAGGAACTTCAAAATTACTGGGCAAACAGTTTGGAATGAACAATTTAAACTTTGAACTGTAATGCATCTATTCTTAAAAAAGTGTGAACCTTGGTATCTTTTTAGCAGTTTTTAAGACCATTTATTTTTGTAAACTTTCAGACGTTTTATTTGATGTGGTAGGCCTTGAAGCAGTTTCTCTCCAGCTGCAGACAGAGTCCTGCACACCTCACACTGCCATGGGGTGCTTCTCTAGCACACCATGCTGCTATACCAAAAACTTTTGTTTTAGCAAAAATAATTATTTATTGTAAAAAGATAAATAATGCTGGAATGAAGCTGAATCTTACAATTAGCAAATAGTTGAGGGTTGTTCAAATAAAAAAACTTAAAAATAAAGACGGAATAAACATTCATACCGTGGTTCACCAGAGATCTGTCCTTCTTTCGTGGTCACTGTCTTCAGATATAAGCCTTCTGGGACACCTAATAGATCGTGTTGATTTTCTTTGAGGCATTTCCATAATTTCATGCTGGTTTTTATGCTAAATAGCTTCCCTGTTCCGTTATCCGCTTTCACCGCGGCGCTGCGCTCTGCTGTGCCCTGTTTCAATCAGGCTGTACAGCAGGATTTCCCCTCGTAGCCAAGGGCGTCAGTTTGTTTTCAGAATTGCTGGGGACAATAACCATACACTTGAGTGGGGTTTAAAAATTGCTGGGGACAATAAAGTAGGCTAGCACAGGGGTCGGCAATCCGCGGCTCTGGAGCCACATGCGGCTCTTCCATCTATCTGATGCGGCTCTCTGTGCTTGTAAAATAATGAATGGATATTTAAATAAAATGCTTTATATTTTACTGTATTAATTTTACATCTGTATGCCAATTCTAAATGTAAAGATTGTCTGCGTAAACCTGAACAGGTCCAACCCGGTCTTACTGTGAGACTGGGTTGACGCGTCACGCTTGTGCGTAATCATATAGGCACTTTATGAGCTGAAGACAATGTGAGATTCTGGGATTCTCCTCAGACGGCTCCTGGATGTGTCGCCACATTGGAGACAGGAACAAGCACTATTCAGCCAAAGTTTCATAATCAGGGAACATTTTCTAAGTGACAAGTCTCTCTGAGAGACAGGGTTTGGAAAACACTCGCTTCAGTGGGAGGAATCTTCCCGCATGCGCTCTGGTTCTCTGGGAGGCTCTGGGGTTAATCAAGTTTAATTGTTTCTCTTTGCAACAATCTTCACAGGAAGGCAAAACAGTTCAACGGCAGGTTACATATATTTCCATTTGACTGTTTATTTTGACAGATGAACTCAAGGATGTTGCTTGGTTTGAAAGAATTACCCCGACGCACACTGATGCGCATGGATGAGCTGACATTTTAATCGTTAACGCACATCGCGGAGGTAAAATATTCCCATCAGAACATCAGAGCTTTATACTGGACACTGTGTTCAGCGCGGCTCGGAGCGCCCACGGTGGACAGTGAGCTGAAGATCTGGGGTTCGCAGCGCTGTGCAGAACCACGGCGCATGCGATAAGACTTCCTCCCACTGAAACAGTCTGGAAACCCGGTCTCTCTGAGGGATGTGTCACTTGGAAAAATGTTCTTTTTATGAAATTATGAAACTTTGGCTGAACAGCGCTTGTTCCCGTCTCTAATATGGAGACGCATTACGCGTAGAGACATTTGATCACGCACAAAGTTCATGTGGAGCAGAAGCGGTCGGGCCACGGCAGGTGAAAGGTTCCTAGCCTACATGAAGTGAAACTGTTTAATTGTAACATTAATATGTTACTGGACACGCTGGTCTGGTTGGTTAGACCAGTGTTTGAAGTGGAAAACACACACACACACACACACACACACACACACACACACACACACACACACACACACACACACACACACACACACACACACACACACACACACACACACACTCACACACACACACACACACACACACCAATTAAAATAATGCCGATAGCATGGACTAGAAGACAGGTGATGGTTTACGTATTTAAATGATGATCAGGCTGCTGTAAAATGTAATCTCCATCCACATCCAGACACAATTATCCTCTATTCTTTCTCTATTTGCTCTGCTCTTGTCTGGGCTGATCAGCTGATGGTGCGCGCAGCGCGCCTAACTAGCGGCTGATGCACATTTTACGCATTTGGAGAGGTGGGCTGGATGCTTTGCTTTTACTGGAAGATGGTCCAATTAACGCACGGGTGTAGACTAAATATTAATGACAAATGAATGAAAATTAAATTGTGAGTTTTTACTTCATATTTTATAAATAAAAAGGACGGGGGAACACATTTATGACATCTTTTTAAACTAAATTTTCTAGCGCGACCTGACTGCTTCACTTAAGTCACTGCTTATTAAGGTCCGTCCAAAATTACCCTGGGAAATGGGTATTAATGGCTCTTTGATGGGAACAGGTTGCCGACCCCTGGTATAAGATCTGAGCTGGTAAAACAAAAATCCTCATCAGCAGGCGTTTTTGAAAGTGGGGGGGACACAGCTGCCAATCACAAATTTTGCCGGGGACATGTCCCCGGCGTCCCCGGTTAAAATGACGCCTATGCTCGTAGCGATATTTTCCTTAACTCTGATTGCTTCATGCTATTGATCGTTGGGAAGCTGCTTTTATGTACTTTTAGGAACCGTTGGAAGTTTGTGAATCTGATCAGCCATTCAAAAGTTATAAAACGGAGCATCTTGGATGACAAACTCAGCACGTCTCTGAATCTGTGTTGTGATTCGTTGCGCTCAAGACAGGGAATCCCAGTGGCTACCGTAATGTATTGTATATGCACGAAAAGCCCCATTTTTAATCTTTTCAGCACTTTTGGGATTTTAATGATATCTTGAACGGTTCAGGAATTATGGTAATGAGAAAAGCGTATGTCCAATCCCGTCTGCGGTGACAGGTTGGTAATAATAATATTGTGGCATTAACAGAGGGGTGCCGGCGGTCAGGGCTAGGGGGCCCCCCAATACAAGGGGGACCCAGGCGGCCGCCTACCGATGCCTAATGCTACTTCATCCTTGCTGTCTGACTTTCAGGATCTCCTATCTTCAACTATTAAACTAGACAGGATAATCATTGTTGGAGATTTCAACATCCACGCTGAGGATCTATCTAACAGCTCTACCAGGGAGTTCCTAAACATGATGAACTCTTTTCACTTCTCTCAACACGTGTCTGGTCCCACTCACAGAGCAGGCCACACCCTGGATCTGGTCTTTTCCTACGGACTTCTTGTTGATAAGCTGCAGACAGGATGTTGT